ACTCATGATGTGGGTGAATCCTTTTTGCATTTGACTTATGCTCTCCCTGAGTTTCATTATAAAGAGTTCATACTCATGGGTTAATGTTCTCAACCTTGCTCTTTTTACCTCAATAGTTCCTTCATAGGTAATTTGGAGGGTGCCCCCCATTTCTTTTGTATTTTTGTAGTGAGAAACCCGCAAAAATTCATCAAGACCTAGAGCGGTAGTGATGACGGTTTTTGCTTTCAAACTGCATTGCACATTCTCTTTATAATCTTTTGTCCAATACTTTTTAGGTTTGTTTACTACAACATCATTTACTTTGTATGTAGGGACAAATGGATCTTTTTTCACTGCCTAGCAAATACCACAATCCATTCCTTCTATGAACAATTTTATTTTCTCTTACCATAAACTGTACCCGTCTCCATTAAAGGATGAAGGTTTGTTTAATGAATAGCTTGAAGATATTTTTTTCTTTAGAGACGATTATTCCTTAATAGAACTTAGGCTCTGATGCCATTTGTTGAACAAGTGACTTCAATCACAAGAGGGTGGTGAATTGTGGTATTTAAAATTCACGATTACTTTTAGATTTTTCTCGATTAAGATAGTGTTATTAGTTTCTTAGGAGTGAATAACAACATAAATAAAAATAGTAAAAAGTAAATTGCAAAATGAAAAAGAATATGGTTAGAGAGATTTCACCATAGACTTATACAGATTTGCCCAAACGTTGACTTAGTCCTGTCCTCAAGAGGTCTTCTTGAGAGTTTGACTATAAACTTTGAGCTTTTGAAGGTTCTGTCCATAAATATTTATACAAGTTGATCTTGAGACTTTTACAGGATTATCTCAAACCAACAATATCTTTTACCAACAAATAAGCTAACGAAACTTCTTAGAGATTTTCAGGACAATCTTAATAACCGATAACAAAAGAAATCGGAAAGCTCAATAAACCAAAAACAGAGATTTATGAATTGTTTATCTTATGAACCAAACTCAATATTCTCAAGAGAATCACACTTAAGAAATAAACAAATAGCAAAACCACTTGCAAAATCTTCCTCACAAGCAAAGTATCACTCAAAAGTATTATGACAACTTTAAGTGAATTAAAAATGTTTCTAGAGATAGAAAGAGAGAGAAATAGAGAGATACATTCCCAAGAAAATGTAAAGATTTGGAAAATGGTATGAAATAGAGAGGAGGAGAGCCTCGTTTATATAGCAGCTGGAAAAAATGGAAAAGGAAATAATACATGGGTAGAATTGATGAGCCAAATGATTGGCATAATGCTTCAATCGATTGACCAAGTCATTTTTTATTGATTTCCATGCTCAATAAGGAAATATTGGATATATATATATATATATATATATATATATATATATATATATATATATATATATATATATATATATATATATATATATATATATATATTATTTGCCATTAAGGTGTTGTCCTAATCTTTTAGCTCTTCTCAAATTGACTGGCTTAATTCTCCAATCAATTGGATGGCTCAGAAATGTTTTTCCAATCGATTGGCATAAGTTACCAATCGATTATTTAGTTCAAAAAATCTTTGAAAAAAGATTGAATCACTTGGATTGGCTAAGTAAATAATTTTCAAGATAAAAATGTTTGAAAAATATATTTTTTGGTGTGTGTGAGAGTTGTCGTAGTACTTCAAAGTTACTCCCTTACTTTTACAAAACTTAGGTCACTCAGGAAGATAGACAGACATGGCATGTCGAGCTTTCACACTTTATCTGAGGCTTGAACATTCTTTGTTGGATTGCTCGTGATCATAGAAGAATTTTAATCTTGAGTCACTTTTTGTTGATGAGGCATGAGATGTTTCTTTGGTTAGATCATCACCATCAAGGTTGAAAGATGATTCCACACGCTTTAATCATCATTGTTATCATCAAAATTTCATATGGATCTTCTACGGGATTTTCAGCTTTATACTTGCAAGCACATAGATCTACAAGACATAGTGAATCTTTAGGGTAGTCAGAATAAATATCATCTTGTCTTTCCAAAGGGTGAAGTTTGTTCCATCGAAACAATTCAACTCGACAAGGTCCTGGTTCATCACTTTGATGCTTGAAACTGAAACCTCGATAGTCATAATTTTTTATACTATAAGATTGTTAGATAATGCTTCTAAGTTGAATGGATAAGCCACCACATAGAATGAATTGTGATATGTACCTTTAATTTGATGTTGGTTGAAATTATTTCATATGTTTTCCTTTGTTCACTCTTCATAATATCTTTATATTTTTCTTCTTTGACATACACTTGTCTTCATCGAAATCAAGTCAAGCTAGAAGAGACCTTATTCACAAGTTGTAGGTGTTGGAATAAGGATTCTCACTTTGGTTACTGTTAGCACAATTAATTGTGTCTTGACTATTTCCTTTAGTGAGTATCATCTGAAAATCGACAACAATATGGCCATTTACAACGCATATGTCACAAACATGGGTTGTATGGGCTATCACGCTCACACTTAAATTGTCGAATTTTGAAGACACAACGTCGACTTTGCCTTTTATATGATCCAGTGAGATCACTTCATATAAGGTGCTCTCTTAGTATAACCATGGTCTCTTTCCCATTGGTAATGGTCGTGCGTCATATCCTAAATAAGGCCATATGCCTCATTTATATCTTTATTCATTAATGTTCCTCCCACAACTGCGTCTAAAGTCCTTCATGTGGAATAAAGGAGACCTTTATAAAAGATGTAGAATATCAACCACCTCTAGAGTCCATGGTGTGGACACAACCTCAACACTTTCTTGAATCGCTGTCAAGCTTTGAAGAGTGATTCTCCGTCGTCTTTCTTGAAGTATGTTATTCAGCTCCTCAATTGTATCATTTTTTGTTTGGCAGAAAATATCAGGCAAGGAACACGGTTTTTAATTCACTCCATGTTATAATACAATTTGATGGTAGGGTCTTCAGTCACGCCCTAGCTTTATTCTCAAAGAAAAAAAAGTTTCAGTCTAATCGCCTCGTGGTTCACTCCATTAGTTTAAAAGTGTCTCAAAATTTTCGATAAATATAGACAGATGCAAATTTGGATCATATGTCGGTGACTATGAAATTGGTTTTGATGTACCATGGACATCAAAGAGGACTTTAACTTGAAGTTAGCCTCCACGAGATGACGTAGTATGCTCAAATGAGATTCCTCATTTGTGAGGGCAGCATAGTCCTTTATGGCACAATATGGTGCCACCATTTGTTGTTAAACACTTTTCATAAAAACAATGTTCGATTTCATTTATTAGTTCATCGAAATTTCAAAGATTTTGAATTCTTCATATTTAACTATAAAAGAGAAAAATTAAAGAAAAATAGAAAAATTAAAAAAGAAAAAAAAAAGTGTATTAGTCTAGAAAGAAAATGGCTTCACTATCACCAATATGAGTTAATTGTTTTTTTTTTTATAATAGTTAATTGTTTCTTAGCTCTACTATTACTAACGTTGAATTGAATTACATTTCATTTATCGAATATGTATATAATAGAAATGAAGAAGTAAAGAGGAGTGTCGTACTTGCGTATTCAGTGTTGATGTATTTCAATTCTACTTAAAAGAAACAATTGCATGTTTGAGAAAGGAAAAAAAAAAACATATGAGTTGGTTGGGGCAAACTAATACCTAAATGATTGGCATTTCAAAAAATAGATATAAAATGCCCCCTAAATTGTCCAAGTGTCAAAAAATAAATTAGGGGAAAAAATTATAACCTTTTAATTTTTTTGAATTATTAGGAAGATAGTCATGCCGCGTGTGTAATTTTATTTGATATTATATTAAATATATTTAGATACATGTAAATTTAAATTTGGTATTTTAATTATAAATGAGTAATGATCATATAAATTCAATTATATTAAATAATCATATAAAAAAGACTCATAAGACATATAGAGAGAGAGAGAGAGAGAAAAAAATGAAATTTTAACATTTAAAAATAAAATTATCTCAAATGTTGATTAAAATAAAATAGACATTGTGTTGATAACAATTCGTGAGATAAAAAAATTATTTGATACGATATAAAATGTCTATCTAATGCAAAATTTGAAATGATTTACTTAATTATAAAATGAACAATAATCATATAAATTTAATTATATTATATAATTATATAAAAGAAGAATAATGTGAGATGGAGAAAAAAATATATATTTAAAAATAAGAATTTTGCTGTTAAATTAAGAGCATGATTTTCGGTGTTCTTTGAGAGTTTCTACACATTTATTAAAGAAATTGTGTCAATAATAAATAGATATTTCACTTGTTTTCACGTTCCTGAACTAAAGCACGCTTCTACACTCCAATTAAGTGGGTCATGATAATAAATTAATGATGAGTTACATGGATATTTGAGAATTGTAGATAAATTGTTTAAAAAATTGAGAAGTGTGAAATAATATAAAAAATTATGTGAGTCACATTTAAAGAACTCAAATGGGTATGATGGATGTGGATGCTCTAAGACAATAGTTGATTAAAATAAAATAGATATTATATTGATAATGACGTGTGAGATAAATATTTTTTTTTTATTTTATTAAAATAAAATATAAATTATTAGTATTTTTTAGTGATAATAAATAAATAAAAAAGATTAAAAAGAAAAAAAATGTGAAAATTTTGACATTTTAATAAAGAAAGAAAAATAAATGTGTAATATTTAATTATGATTTAATTAGTGAAAATTGAAAAATAAATATCTTTGTGATACTGTAATTGTAATAGGAGATGAGAATGAAAAAAAGTAAATATTAGTTATGTTTTTTTCTTAACGTAAAAATTTACAGTGAAAAAGAACAACTTAGGGAATTCAGACCGTTGATTTTTAATAGATATAAGTTTGATGTTTGATTTATGTACATAAATATTTTTCTTTGCTCCATCGTGCAGCTCGACGTTTATTTTTGAGTAATAAATATTCATTATCATTTGTCTTTAACCAGATATATCATATATTCATTGCAGAAAGAGCTCCAGCATATGACATGACTATTTTTAACATATAGATAGTAGTGCTTTCATCGACTAGGGCCTGCATTTGTGTTGAATTTCTCGTGCCAATACTAGGCAAGAATCTCATCTGACAAATAACAGATTTTGCTTCAGTTATAGATTTTAAAATTTTAATACATCCCAATTACACATTTCCAATCACAACTATAAAAAATAAAAATAAAAACAATCTATAAGTTATCAAAAAACACATTCCCGTTCCATATATTTATCCATTTAAAAAATTATTAACTTGAGCAATTTATTTAATAAATAAAAGTACAATCTACAAGTTACCAAGATATATAGTTTATACCAAAAATAAATAATGGAAAAAAACTTAATCACTGATACAAGGTACCTCCACAAAAATACCCACCCACGAAAGCAGAACCTCTAGTTTTCTAGAAAAGAAAACTAGAAAAGTTGGGGCGGAGACATCATCCAACTGCATGAGGGCACGTTCGTCGAACCGGCGATATTCCTCTTATTCAAAAAGAAGACATTCCAACTACTAAGTATTAGACAAGCAAGAAAAGTTATCCTCAAATTAATTTAGGCATTACACACCGCATGGCCCTATATATAAAGTTTCAAATGACCTTTTTATAACCAGACAGAAGACAAATCATGCAAATGAATTGGAAAAAAATAAATCACAAGTAGAATCAGGACACTTCTTTCTTTTCTTATATCCATCTGAATCAGTACATAAATTTACACTTCCCTTCCTCTTCTGTTGCATGCTGCGTATCTTGTAGGAGAAAAGCAGGATTATGAGCCAGGAGCAGCATTGGAATCATCAATACTACCGGCATTACCATTTCCATTGTCACTACGATTCAATTTGCTGGAAAATTCCAAGCCATACACGTGCCCCATTTTCACTCGTTTGGTTTCCAAGTATCTCCTATTTTCTTTAGTGATAAATGATAACAATGGGATCCTACCGGAAATGGACAAACCATAACCTTTGAGCCCAACATATTTTGCTGGATTGTTTGTCATCAGCTTCATAGAACGAACACCCAAGTCCCTCAATATCTGTAATTACAATGTCAAATTCTAACCTTTTTGAGTGAATGCGACTAAGTAAAACATCTAGTTCTGTTGAATGCAAACTAGCATGCCAGAGAGTTTTCATAATAATCATGTAAATCACATAAATTGAATACAGTAAAATAGAGTATAAGATGTTCAAAATTCAAGTAAATTACGATGTATATTATAATCACCTGAGCACCAATTCCATACTCTCTTGAGTCAACAGGCAATCCCAACTCCTCGTTGGCTTCTACGGTATCCCTTCCCTGATCTTGTAGGTTATAAGCACGAAGCTTGTGGCCTAATCCAATACCCCTTCCTTCATGTCCACGAAGATATACCATCACGCCTCTACCAGCAGCCTCAATCTGTTGCATTGCAAGAGCAAGCTGATTTCCACAGTCACATCTGGCAGATCCAAATATGTCTCCTGTGAGACACTCTGAGTGTACCCTCACAAGAACATCACATCCATCCCCAATGTCACCCTGGCAAAAATGAAAAGTTAAACTATAACATAGGCTAAAATGTACAAATTTAAAATAGAACAGTTCTCCAATTGGTAAATCCTTCAGGCAAAATGTTAAATGATAAAAAAAGAGAGATACATTAATTTATCACTGAAGGAAAAAATCACGAATATTCATCTGCCTGCTCAGGCATTCCATATCAGATTTATTTTGTTGAAGCCAAAATATTTGGGATCAGAATTGTCCAGAGCCATTAGAACCAATTTCCATTCTAATATGAGAAGTTATAACTTATAACCAATTTCCCTTTTAACATAACCAGTTATAACCAATTCTCTATTCAGCCTCTTTATTGGGCTATGGCCCAAATCCAGTATCCTATCATTACCTCATTGGCAAATTTTTCGGGACTTGTAGCTTTGGCAGTTGAGAGACTAATTTTAAGTAGCTCGATATCTTAGGGTCTGTTTGGTTCAACAAGGAGAGGGGAGGGATTTTAATGGAAGAAGTGTAAAATTACATTTTTACCAATCTAATATAGAAACACATTAAATAAAGGGGTGTACAAGTCCAAAATTATAACAAGTTTCCTCTCCCCTCCAAATCCTCCATTTTGGAAGAGGGCTAGGATTGGCTTAGGAGGGATTTTGATCCCTTCCCCTTCCCTCACTCCTCCCAAACCAAACTGCCATTTCTTTTATGCCAATAGCTTTAGCTTCTGTTCGCAAGGTACTGATTTCATAACAAGGTATACATTGGAATATTGTGAATTCAAAACATAGGATTGAACTCCAGTATGGAAAACAGCAGCATCAATGTGACTCAAATTCCAAAATAAATAAATTATACCCTCATTATGTTTAGTTTTTAAAATTTCAACAGCTACAAACAAATGTAACAATAGGTCATTATCAATATATTATTCCTAAAAAAGGGTGGGATTGGAGAGTATAAAATAATGCACTAATGCAGTGCTGAATGCTTAACATAGAAGATGTGCTGATTGAGCTAAATGATACTGCTCTACCATAATGGTATCCCTCCCATGCGTACACTTTTTCTTGTCCAATTAATAAAAATCAAAGTGGAACTATCGAGAACTTCATCCGTATTGCCTTCCATGTATATAAATCTATATAAACTCAAGATCTCTCACCTTTACCATCGCAATATGCTCCGCCCCGTCTAAAAGTGACCTATAACAATTAGCTGTGAATGGCCCCCACACTGTGGGTATTAGTGCAGCACCAGCACGATCCACTAATTTATCTCTCTTTCTTCTGTACCTGCCAGGCTAATAGGTGTTAATCTCCTTGATGAGTAGCCAAAAAAGCAACAAAAGTATCCAGGAAGGAAAAATAAGGTAAAGGAGAATTAGGTAAGGAACAAAAAAATGTGTGAAAAGGCAAAATAACCATAGAAATTTTTAAGGTGCTAAATGGAAGATAAGCAAAATAGTATTTCAATTTTTATAATGGTGATTGAAAAATACATTCAGTGAAATGTCCCGATTAGAAAAAAAGAACTTACCACATAAGCAATCATTAAAATTGACTGATAGCAACCACTAATATTAGAAGTACTAGTACCACAAAACCCCTATTGATGAATTTGTAGTTATGCATCTAGGATTTTTAAAAGACAAATTACAGTACCAGACAACTTAAGGGGCTTAAATTATGGTAGGTGTAATCAGGGACAGATCCAGAAAGTCGATAGACGGAGGCTGAAATTTGAACTTCGTCCATTATAAGGTTAAGCTCATACCAGAGCTGAAACCTCATAGATGTTTGGGAATACAAAACATTAATAGTTGTTTTCTATTTGTGATATAAACAAAAAACCAACACTTAGTAACATTATTATTTAGATAAAACATTATTTATCACATCAGGAAATACTACTCTCACTGTCCCACAATGAGTGACTCATTTGAACCCAACATAGAGTCTTCGTATTGATAAAATTTCATACTTCTCTCACCGTCCCACAATGAGTGACTCGTTAAGAAATAAATTAAATGAAGAAAAAATAATATTTATTTTTATTATATTAAAGTTAACCCAACATAGAGTCTTGGTATTGATTCAAGATGTAAGAGTCGAGAGGAGAACGAAGAGAAGAAACCATAAAGAGCTCCACAGATCAAGTGATGGCATTTGAAGGGAGAAAAACAAAAGATTTTCCAACACAAGATCTTTGAGGAGGTATCGGACAGCCCCAAGAAAGTGCAAATGATATGTGGGACAAGATGACACAAGAGGTCAGAAAAGTAGCAAAAGAGGCACTGGGAGAATCAAGAGGTTTTGGATCTAGGGATAAATAATCATGGTAGTGGAATGAAAGGGACGGGACTAAAGTTAGAGTTAAAAAGGAATTTGACGGATTATACCAAACCGTCGGAATTAAGGAGGTTGAAAATCCATATATAGGTTTGCTAAGGGAAGAGAAAGAAAAACAAGAGACTTGGACCAAGTCAAGTGTGTCAAAGATGAAGAATGCAAAATCTTGGTTCAGGAAAATGATATAAAAGATGGATGCAAGATGTATTTCTACAATTTATTTAATGAAGGATATGAAGTCTTACTAGATTCTAACAGACTAGACATTAGAGAAGAGGATCAAAATTGGATCAAAATTATAACTACTATCAATGGATTCAAAAACACGAGGAAAAAGAAACATTGAAAAGGATGATAAATAGCAAGGCAGTTGGGACAGACAACATACCTATTAAAGTGTGAAAAAGTCTTGGAGATAGAAGTATTGCATGGCTTACCAAACTGTTTAACGAAATAATGAGGTCAAAGCAAATCTCAGATGAATGAAGAAAAAGCACTTTAATTCTCATCTATAAGAACAAAGAGGATATACAAAATTGTGCAAATTATAGAAATATTGAACTTATGAGTCATACCATGAAATTATGGGAAAGAGTGATTGAGCAAAGACTAAAAAAAGAGACTCAAGTTAGTGATAATCAAGTTGGTTTTATATTTGGGAGGTCGAACATGAAAGTGATTTATCCACTACGTCGTGTAATAGAGAGTGGCCAGATGGATCAACAAAACTTGCACTTGGTTTTCATTGACTTGGAGAAGGCCTATGTTAGAGTACCAAGAGAGATTTTGTAGAAAACAATGGAGAAGAAAAGGGTTAAGATTGTCTAAAGCTATCTGAGATATATATGGGATAAGATTAGAAATAACATATTAGAGAGAGTTGGCATAGCAGCCATGGTTGAAAAGATGGTAGAAAATATACTTAGATAATTGTGCATGTAGAGAGAAGGTATGTGAATTCTGTAGTAAGGAGAGTGGATCTGATGGAGGGTAGTCAAACAATTAAAAATAGGGGAAGATCCAAAAAACATAAGAGAAACTATTAAGAAAGATCTAGAAACTAACGAGTCGGATAGAAATATGGTTTTTGATAGAACATTATGACGTAGTTTGATTCATGTAGCCAACCCCACTTAGTTGGACAAGACTTTGTTGTACATTCAAGTTAAATTAGAACAATGAAATAAATGAAACGGTTGAGTGATTTGTTTTTTCATTAATGTTTCCCTTAAGACCTATGAGTCTATGAGATGCATGGACGAACTTTTCAGTCCATTCATTCCATTAGAGGTTCACTCCATTTTCTCAATTACATGCTTAGAGATGGGGTCTTTATTTGCTCATGGTTGAAAACATTGATCATATTTTGATTCAGTTGCTTAAGCTAACTCTATTAACATCTTTGCCATCATTTTACTTCTCCAAGTATGTAATCTTTGTATTCTTCTATGGCATATGATGAAAGGGAAGGAGAGGTCAGGACCCATGCCTACCCTCCCTCTTAGATCCGTCCTGGGCTGTAACTGAACCTAAAATATGAACATAATCGACAACATAAAATTCAAACAATGTATTTTACTACATCTTTCACAAAATGCTACCACATACCTTATCAAGTCAGCAATAGATATAATTTTCAAATTTTCACGCTCAGCAAACTGGCGGAGCTTAGGTAATCTAGCCATGGAACCATCATCATCCACAACCTCACATAGAACTGCGACAGGGTCCAAACCAGCAAGTACTGCCAGATCAACTGAAGCTTCTGTGTGTCCAGCTCTCTTCAAGATACCACCTTCCCTGTATTTTAGAGGGAAAATATGGCCTGGGCGGTTGAAATCACTTGGTTTAGAATCTTTGGATGCAAGGGCCAAAACTGTGGTTGCCCTATCCTGAGCTGACACCCCTGTGGAGGTACCATGTTTGGCATCCTACAAATGTCATGCAAAAAGTTGATACATAGCGAAATGCATAGATAAACTCCTGAATTACATAGGGAAATCAATCTAACACAATTATAGTTTATCAAATTTCAATAACATTTTACTTATTATATTGTTCTAGCATATAATAAATGGCCGTTAAATACTGGGAGACAAGAGATACTAGATACAACAAAGTGAAGTCGCACTGAATTTTTATCGAACTTAATGCCTACACACGTGCAGTAAGATGAGATAAATTATTTCCTAAAGTAGATCATATTACAAGGCCGGTATTTATAGTTTTTAGAAGATGTAACAATGGAAGACCATGATCAGATAGATACAAAGTAACTCCAGATAAAAATATGCACGCACCAAATTGTACATACCACAGTCACAGTGAATGCTGTGCGGAGTTTCTCATCATTATCCCGACTGTTGACCATTAAAGGAAGCTCCAATCTCTCTAGATCTTCCTCTTTCATGCTTATACAAACTATACCAGTTCCGTGCTTCACAATAAAAGCCATAGCCTCTGGTGTTGCCAACTGTGCTGCCATTATTAGGTCCCCTTCATTTTCTCTATCCTCATCATCTACAACCACTACCATCTGAGATACTAATGTGAGTTAATAACAGAAAGCTAAGTGGCGGCAACATAAAACCAAAACTTATAATACAAGACTTCCTTGCATTAACGGTTAAAACAACACCCAGAGAGAGAGAGAGAGAGAGAGAGAGAGAGTAACAACCTTTCCATTACGAATGTCTTCGATAGCCTCGGGAATGGAAGCAAAACCTTTTGTTGGACTGTCCGAATCAAAGTCATCGTTAACATCAGCAAAACCACTGTCTTCTGTGTCTACTCCCAGTATTCCAAGTGCTACTGGATCGGGTTGTGCCGATTCAACACCAACCATATCTTCGTTATTTAAGTCTCCTCCTCCAGAGGTCAACGCAGATTTAATTCTACTCAAAGCATTGAGACATGAAGGGAATTTAGAGCTTCGCCGAACAAACAGCAAATTTGAGCCACGCATTTGTAGCTTAGATGAATTTATACTGCTCAGCTGATTGAACACTTTGAAATTTTTGCATGCCCTATATTGAACAGAAGAGAAAACAAAAGCTAGAATTAGTAATTGTTATATCTTAACATTGTTTTGACATTCAATAATTAAGAGAAATTTTAAATAAATAAAAAAAAGCAAAAGTTGTTGTGTTATTTTAAAAAATCAATTATCAAAAATGATTTTCTGGAGAAGCTACTCAAAACAGCTTATCATCTGAAAGCAATAGTTAGAATTAAGTGAATAGTAAAAGATAATTACATGGTCAACTCAATTGACTGAACAAATGTATAAATGTTCAATAAATAAGCTAAATTGCAGTTGAAATAAGCTAAAAATGAAAGATATGCAATCCAACACAAGTGAAAATTATGATAATATGGATTAGTTTTCAGTAACATTAACTACAATTAGGTTTGAGCTTCAATTCAACGAGTTCCCACCAAATTGTGATCAAAATAGAACATAACAAAGCGGTTTCAACAAAACTGAAAATAAGCCATAGCATAATTTGTGTAAGGAAATATAATCGTGTACGTGTCATGAAGAGAAATTGAGAGGGTGAAACTGACCGTGAAGACGAGAGAGAGGGTGTGGATAGATTGAGAGAAGAAGCCATAGTTTGGGGCTTAGGGTTTCAGCGAAAGTGATTGATTGAGTTTGGTAATTTTGTTGGTGCTGCATTCTGTGTTGGGTTAGGTGGGATGACAGGAATTAGAAGATATAATGCCCCACATATAGGTGTTTTTACGGTTGTACCCTCCAATTTCATAAATCAAGAGTAAAAATATTTCAGAAATTTTAAGAAAATATCTAATTTCAGATTTTCTGATAAAACTATATTGAAATTTATGATTCTTGTACTTTTTTATAATAGTAAAAATAAACAAATTAATTGAATAATTTATTTGTACTTGTTTAAAAAATTATAAAATTAAAATTAATGTTTTTATTAAATTAAATTAACTTAATTAATTACTTTTGTGATTAAATTTTATATATAATATTATATATATATATATATATATATATATATATATATATATATATATATATATATATATATATATATATATATATATATCTTCTATTTTCTTCTTTTTTTCTTTTTTTCTAAATAGTATATTAATTTATTCTTTTTTTCTTTTCTTTTTTTCTCTTTTCATCTTATTTCTTACATTTTTTTCTCTTTTTTTCTCTCTCTCGATTAGGTATGACAATGGAGTGGATCGGGGACGGTTTCTATCTTCTCTAAACTCAAATCTGAATTCTTAAATAATCATTGTTTCTCACCTCAAACTCAAACAGGGATAAAGAATTAAAATTCAAATTCGTCTCAAACAGATTTGGGTATCTCCGTCCCGTCACCATTCATTTAGTAAATCAATTTTTTTTAATAGAAATATTAATTTTTTCCAAAATAAAATTACATTATAAATAATAAATTAAAAAAATATCACAAAATTTCATACATACATTTCAAATATTTTAAATAATAAATACAAATCAAATTATCAAAACATTGGTTACATATTTAATATTATAGATTATTAAAAATAAATTATAGCAATATACATAATGAAATAAACGGGGCGGGTTCGGGGTGGGTACTAGTATCCCTATTATCCGACTCATTCCTTTATTTTATAATTGGGAAAAACTCAAACCCAATCAAAACAGGTTTTATCCGTCAACTTTGAGACGGGTTTGGATGAATACTCGTGGATATGAGTTTTGTTGCTATGTCTACTCTCAACCAATCACACGTTTAGTAACACTAAATTTATTTATTTGTGTTAGGATATTAAACATCCGGTATTTTGAGTGTTATTTTTAATCATTATACATGTTGGTGCGTTTATGTAATATTATGACATTTTTTTATCCATTTTTCTCCAAGCACATTGTTCTTGACTTAAAGCTTATATTTAATAATAATGGTTTAATGATTATCCACTGACAGTGTAAAAAAAATTTACATTGTTATCCAATAAGATTATATCATTCTTCCATGTTGATCGTACGTGATCAGAAGAGATTGTCAATGTCCACGAGCTTTAAGTCGAGCAATGGTTGAATGTGAAATGGGGGTACCTTCAAGACACTCTGATGCCAAAGTAAGATTTAGAGTAAGTGCAAATAAAGTGTTTGAGTATGGGTGAATGAATGAATACCTGACCTCTCAAGTGAGGGAATATTTATATCTCTCAGTATTGGACCAAGGTCCCCCATATTGGACTGACAGAGAAGGCCCAAAATGGAGAATGTCAGGTCCTACGTGTGTAGTGGAGGCCAGCATGTGGTCTCCCACCTGAATGGGCTCCTTTGAATCATCAAGAGGACGTGAACACTGTCTCTTAGGGGTCAAGGGAACTCCGGGATATTCAGAGGCGTTGGACGCTTGCCTACGAGGAGAGAGCTTGCGAGGACCTTCTGAGTGATGTTGACCCTTCTCGCCAGTCATGCGGTGAGATTGCTCCCGGAGGGCGTATCCTGGTCGACAAGAGGAGTGGAGTCGTTATCCGACATGGTCAATGGCGGATTCTCTCTTGTTGGTCTTCTCTTGTAACATAGTTGGATTGGACCTTGTATGATGTTTGGGCCAAATGCGGACCCAGTCCAGAACACATGTCATATAATTTTTTTAAAAAAATTCAGTCTCACTTGTCTGGATGCATGATCGTCATTGGTTGACAGTGTAAAATTAATTTACACTGTCAGTGCATCATCTTTTTTCTCTTAATATAATATCTTTAATTTTTAAAAGAAAATATTGATATTTAACATAATAGTAACCGAGTATTTTGTCGAACATGTTATAGCATCAAATTTTAATCGTAACTAGGGGTGGCAAAACGGGTCAGGTCCGCCGGGCCAGTCCGTTTGACCCACTATTTTTGGTGGGTTTGGCTGAGGTTTTCAGCTCAGTACCTTAAATTGACCTGCCCCGCCTAACCCGCTTTAAAAAGCAGACTTAGGCGGGGCGGGGTTGGTTTTGCCTGCGGACTTTTTGTTACAACTTTTTACTTTTTACTTTTTACTTAGAATTAAGACAACTTTAACTACGAAAACAATATTATTCTCTTTGGGTTATGGTGATTGAATTACATTCTAAATTATCATAGACAAATTGAATTATATTTTAAGATTCTTTATATAATTTTCTAATACATGTATTTATTGAAAAAACTTAAAATACAAGAGCAATTGTATGGCATGAAGAATTATTAAGTTGTCAATACATTAGCTCACATATTTTCTTTAGAAACAAATGTTAATTTTAAGAAAAGGAAGAATTCGATTAGAGTATACGTGTGACAAATTTAAGATATAACTATTAAGGAATCAATCAATATAATAGTCTATATGACCTAAGCAATAAGAAGTCAAGTGTTAATATTTTATACACTATTATTTTATGCATTGTGATGTTTTATGCACTATAATGTTATCATTGTTTGTCTTGAGAAAATTATTAATTGGATTCTTTTAGTAATTAGTTTTTAAATATGATTATGATGATATGTGTTATTTATTTATTTATTTTGATACATTTTTCTATCGTGCTAGAGTCTATTTCGGTATGTTTTTCTTGAAATTGGTCTTTATCTATTTTATTTTTTTAAGTGTTTGGACTTAAGACATGTTGAAGTTATATTATGCGTTGTTAAAAAGATATATTTTGTCGGCTTCTTTAGTAATGATTAATTTTTTTGTAAATTATGTAATAAATTAAATTGTAAAATAAAAAACTAAAAAAATTGGCGGACCGGCCCGTCAATCGACCAACTTGTTAGTAAACGGGACGGGTTTGACTTTTGAGCTTGGATGCATAAGTTTGTCTGCCCCGCTCCGCACCATTTTTGTGTTGGAAATCCACAAAATATCTACGATGAATTTCTACCACAATGACAATTTAATTATGAGACAAACAAAGAAAGAAGACAAGACAAATAATTTCTGCAGAGTTTCTCTCTGCTCACAAACTGTGAAAACTTTATTATTCATTTTGCAAGTGCAAAATATTGTGAATGACTTGCTTGACTTACTTACAAAAAAATAGAGGTTACTCCTTCTATTTATAATTGAGCTTACACCCTAAGCCCAAAGCCCAAAATATCTATTTTCTTACTAGATCAAATCTAATCTATTCTAGACTTAAATCAAATCTATTTAAATCTAAAACAAATCTAATCTTTTCGACACATAGTTTCGACACACTGAATTACAATTAAACACACCACCTAATTTATTGTTTCTAAACTATCTATGTTCATCATGGCTCTTAGTCTTCTGAATACTTCGACTTGCACTCCCTTTGTCATGATGTCTGCAATCTGATTCTCAGTTCTGCAGTGTTCCAAATTCATCTTCCCATCTACTACCTGCTCTCGAAGATAATGGAACCTCATTTCGATGTTCTTACTTCGACCATGTGCTATTGGGTTTTTCACGAGATTGATATCTGACATGTTGTCTATTTTCATGGTAATTTCTCCATGATCTTTCCCTGTTATCTCTTCGACCAAGTTCACCATCCAAGTTGCTTGACATGCACAAAGAGAAGCATCTATGTGTGATCGGTGGATCTGGAACTGACTGTTTTAAAGCTGGTTCGCGAAATGTCGCGGAAGCAAGAGTCGCCACCGTCTTTTATTTTCTCCAATAGGAAAGGACAAAAGCACAGAAAAATTCCTTTTAAGAGATTGCTCTCGGTTCGGGAGGTAGGTTATAGAAAGGGAAGGTGTTAGCACCCTTTCTATCCATGGTTATCCATGGGCTCTTAGGTACTTGCTCAATGTGTTTTCAAAATGTGTGCTTGCTTTTCAATTGTGGGTTTCAAAAATATTCTTTGAAAAAAGTTTCGATTCAACTCGTACGTCAGAGTGTTTTGAAAAGTTTGTTTTGAAAGTTTTTGAAAGTGTTAGTGTGAAAAGTATTAGTTGTTTTGTTTTTGAAGAGAGCAAGTACCTACGAGAACCTACCTACCCTAAGGAATTCGTCTGTGTAAGAGTCCTTTAAAGTGGTGCCATCCCATCATTGAGAGGTAGGTAGCACCACCGTTGGAGGTGTTCGGGTCAATTCGAGTTTTAGGGACAGGGTGGTCACCGGAGCAATAGGAAGACACCTCAGAAGCTACCCTCATGCCAGGTTCCCGGACCATGAGGACTTACTAAGACGTTTTCTACTCGACGACCACCTTTCGAAAGGCAACAGTGAGGCGTACCCTAGGGGTGGTGTGTGCGAATTGTGTGTCATTTTCAGTTCATTATTTGTCTTGTCATGCATTGGTGATCTAACGATTCAATTTTATTTTCGGGCATTCATTCTTTCATGCATATTTATTAACAGTTATATTTGCGGGAATTTAAATCTAGACTATTACAACCGGCGCGGGTCCACATCGCCAAAAAAACCGAACCCGATTTGACTGAAAATAAATAAAGCGAATAAAATAAAAAGTGCGAGAAATAAATCTAAACTTATTACAAGGCTTTGGGGCATATACAGAGGTATTTACACAATATAAAACAAATGCGCGAAATAAAGAGTTTTAACAAAATTAGGGTTTTGGACCCTTTCACAAATAATTAAAATTAATCAAGGAAATTAAATGTT